CATTCTGTAAAGTATGATACCCACACGAGGAAGTGAGGAGACAGATTAACGGAGCCTGACGTGTACCCAGAAGCCTCCTGCTACGGGACAAGCCCAAGAAAGAAACCAACAGAACACCACTGGCCATCCCTTGGGTACATTGGGAAAGTGTACCCTAAAGAAGGAGACATACTTATCAAGTCATCACAAATGGTATTTACACCCCCGGCTTCCCAGTCATTTCATTAGGTCATGGGGAACCTTGGGAGAAGAGGTGGATTCTCAGAGGTTCTCTCTTACAAAGTCACCTGCAGAGAGAAAATGGCTGGGAGTCACTGGCTAAGAGGAGATACACGTTGTGCACAGCTGATTCAGTCACAGCACTGTCAAAGGACAGAAGGGTCGCTTCATTCTCCTAGATGCCGTCATACAGTCTTGTTTTGTTGCAGATGACCACTGCCTTCTGGGCCTTGAATAAGGGTTTTATATGTGGTGGGGCAGTATGTTTTGTACAGATTTTCTGCTAACGTGTTACTTCCTGCAACTGCAGTTTTGCGTTCACTGTTCATGTAGTTCCACAGGTGCAGAGCATAGGAGTCATTGAAGTCGGGGCGTTTCTTCCAGACGTCATAGTACCGCCTCCATGCCGGGTAGGGGATGGGGTAGAATCGCTGAGGATGTAAGAAGGAAATATTCTGACAGCTTATATCCTCCACTTTATGGAAATTGGTCAAGTTGCACAATGCCTTGAGATTTCTTGTCATTAAGCTGGGGCCTTGGTAACCCCAAATGTGTCCTTTGTAATTTCGAACAAAATCCTCCATACAACCCCAAATGAACCCGTGATGGCGAGGAAAGCCAAAAATCCCATTGCTGGAGACCTGGGAAGCCTCAGCCGCCAAGAAGTTTGTTACAGGAATAGGCCGGATGGAGATGACATCGGTGTCCAAGTAGATCCCACCGTATTTCCAGATGAGTGCAAGCCGGCTCGCGTCAGAGCTGACATGAACCCAGTACCTTTCCTTGGCTGGATTTACCTGCAGAGGTGGAAAGGAATCACACAGATGTAATTGACTCTACTTCGAAACATCTCAACACCTGCTCCCGTTAGCTATGTCCTGTACAAAACTCTCAGCTGTGTCCTAACTGTAAAAATGAAGCCCGGAAAATTCAAATCCCGGGCTTCATTTGCAAGTGCGGTATGCCTACATTACCCCGCTAGTTCGAACTAGGAGGGTAGTGTAGACATACCCAAAGAGAGCATCCAGACTAAAAGAAGATTTTTCAAAAAGCGGCTTGCTTTTTCGAAAAAGAATCTAGATGCTCTCTTTCAAATAAGCCCTGTTTTCATTCAATAGCGCCTTTTTTCGAAAGATGACTTTCAAAAAAAGGTGTTATTCCTCATAAAATGAAGTTTACTGCAGTTGACAAGACTGCCCTGTTCTTTTGATTTACTTTTGAAAGAATGCAGCTGTAGTCTAGATGCAGGTGAAGTTTTTTTGAAAAAAGGCTACATTTTTCGAAAAAACCCTGTAGTCTGGACACACCTTGAGTGAATTAGGATTAGCTGGTGCTTTTAGTTACTTTAATTTAGTAACTTACTTTGATCTGACTTTTATCACTTACAACCACTTAAGTCTTACTTTTTATTACTTAGTAAAACTCTTTTGTTTATTATCAAGCCCAGTGTAAATAATTGTTACCAGGGTGGAGGAAGCAACTGTTGTGCATCTCCCTCTTTCATAGCTAAAAAGAGCTTCCCTTATGAGCTTTCTCTGGGTAAAACTTTTACTTGGACTAAGATGGATTTTTATTAGGGATTTTGGTTTCTTTTAGGGGTTGGTTTCCTGGGTGCTGAGCCCTTCTAGAAGGCCTCCTCACGGTGAACTGGTTCTGCATTTGTGTTACTCTGCAGGGAGATAGTTGCCCCAAATTTATGACTCTGGGGGAGACCAGAGCTTCTGGCCCAGCAGGACAGGGAGGTGAGGAATCCCAGAGGGCAGGATGGAGGACATCAGTGGCTTGATCAGCACACAGGGAGACAACCCCAAGTGGACTTCTGTGATCCAACTTGTCACAACGGTGATTAACCATTTTCATAAAATAAAGTGATCAAAATCATTTGAAATGTTCCATTTGCCATAAATCCTGCCAGGAAATAGAAAAGATCCATAACAATTTCAATCAATATTTTGACTGTGCATAGCAAACAGTCACGAAAAAGGAGTCCACACTGGGTGCAACAAAATGACAACAGCTTCAAAACTTGAAAAAAAGGTGCCAAAACACCACTTATTTTCAACCACCTCTACTTCAAATATTGTTCAAAAATATCCTGCCTCCCACTCCATATATTTCCTCTCACCTTACGGTACCATGGGAGCAGAGGTGTCTCCTCAAACAAAGTTTCCATCTGGAAAGGACGGATGAAGACATTCTCCATCGCAGATAGAAGAGAGAAGGCCGCGGAAGTGGAATTTGAATCCCACTTTGTGTTATTTTTCAGCCCTTTCATGAAGAAACGAATGGGTCTGTCGGGATAGATCCTGGCAGCAGATTCCACAGAACATGAAACCAAGGGAGGAGGCTCCAGGCGGTCTGTGGTCTCCACGAAGATGATGCTTCTACTCTGGCTCAAATCCTCCTCTTGCATTGGGAGTGGCTCAGGAGTGGGCTCGCATGAGAAGATGCAGCCAGACGGCCGGGAAAGTTTATAAACAACGGAAAAGACAAAGACAAAAAAGAACCAGAGCACGAATTTGATCTCCTTCAGCATTGCTGCTTTTCCTTGGACCGATGAGTCTTAATAAAAACAAACAAAGTCATTATCAGCGGTTCACTGTTTATGGCTGGGACAGGACGGGATTTCAAATGTTTATTTTTACCTTGGATTATTTCTTATGCGCTTGACAGCTTGTCACAATAGTGGGGAATCAAGAGTTAAACCAAATCACAGACCTGAGTTGGCATCAGCCTCTTTGAATCTGGCAGTGGTTTATGAAAAAGGCTTGTCATGCTAAAGGAGATTAGAGAGGATATGGGCTGGT